AAAATGTCAAGATGCTCATCAACACCCCACCCCACCAAGAGCTATTTTCCACCCCATCAACTACTATTACATAAAGCAAATAGCATCAGTACAGCTAACGAATAGCTCCTACAAATTTCAGAACCATTATAAAGGGTCACAAAATATTCACTTGATTTTCATTCAAGTATTTATAAATACATAAGATTCTGCCTTTTTGTTGTCTTTGTAACCATTTTAATACTTGAACATCACAACAGATATTTTAAGGCATGTGGGGCTAATTCAGAGGCAAACGAAAAATCTAAAGCAGCTCTATCAGGCTGAAAGCACAAACAGATCAGGCTTAAGACTTAAAAGCCAAGCATTTTGCTGCTTATTTAATTCTGCCCTCTTTGATAAGGTGTTCCCTCAAGGTTTCTTCTACAACAGCACTGAATAGGAAATAGAAGGAATTTAAAACATCTCAACTGGCAGCTCAGTATGTAACTCAGTATGAGAACTCTGAAATACAAGGGCTCTCTAGAGTTGTCACGTTTTACATTTGACACTTTCATAGACATACTGAATGTGGCAGGCTGATCACAGCTGATGAATAAGAAACCCTGAGTTTTAGTCATTTTGAGCAAGAAGCTGCACTTGCACAGCACTGCTGTACTGAATGGGAAGCCTGGCCCAGGACTTCTTCAGCAGCAAACTCCCGATTTACTGTGCATGCCTACTGAGGGTGATTTATTCTGCATTTGTTATGCATACTGAATGCTTAATTATCTTTATCGTGTTCAAGTTTTTAAGAGTTGCAGTGGTAAATGTATCTTTAGATATATCTACAACTTCTCTAGAAAAAAAAAAGCTAGAGCTGATAATATCTATGTGGTTAATTTCCTTAAGTAATCAGGATCAAGACCATTTATGTCTTTTGTGTCATTTAGCATTCCGATCAGCTGATAAATACAGCAGTAGGTGCAAGGTTTCTTCTGCCTGTATTTTAAGATGGGTCTCCCACTATAAATATAGAACAGCCAGTCCTCCTTCACACAACAAAAAAGAGATGAAGGAAACTTCACTTTCTATACCACTCTAAACATTTACAACAAAACTACAACAGCCCTCTGACAAAATGCAAAATGGAAGTTATCTGAACAAGAGATAAGCAACAAACCAGAAACTAATTAACTAGAGAAGGAAGCTTGGAACAAGATGGAGAGCACAGTTTGTTCTTTTATAGCAGAGCAGTCATTTTACTAAAAGGTCAAAGTAAATTGTAGAGCTCAGCTGTACCAGGCAGTGGCCCAAACCAGGTGGGAGTGCACCAGATCATGACCAAAGGCTTCTCAGACCAAAAATTAACTTTGCAAGTTAAAAATGCAGAGAACATGAAAAAAAAGTTGGAGAAAAATAAGAGATTCCTGGCGTAGGCAATGAACTTAGGCTAAAAGAAAAAAAACCACAACAAAACGCAGACATCTTATCTGAAAATCAGCAAGATAAAAGGCTCTCTAAACTTCCATTACCAAGCAATGCATCTGGCAGTGGGGATTTGGCAGAGTTGACCAAAACATAGCAGTGGATGGGATGATAGCACAGAGGAAGCATGGTAAGAAAGATTCATCTTGTCACTGGAAAATGCAAGATCAGCTAACAGAACCTATACAAGGTATCAGTGAAAGGTGTGAGAAACCTAGTGCAATCACAGAAAGTGGTACTCTTCTCAAAATAAAAAGGTTTGGGTCAGATCATGAGACTGAATTTAGACTATTTAAATAACCAACAAAATCTGAACACAGCTATTAAGAGATTAGTATCACCTCCTCAGTACAATAAACCAGGTATGTAAGCCTGCAGTCTTCATTGTGGTAAAATGTATTATCAATCCAAACAAGAGAAAACCAGAAGGAGGCAAGAGAACAGTTTCCCTTGGCTTTTGTTTGCATTCTACTGTGGTAAAGACCTTGGGCTATTAACGAGCAAGACCTAGGCCACCATACACCTTCAACTGCTTCACGATTTGGTTTTGGTTCTTTGCATACTCAGTTGCTTCATTTATCATCCTAGTAGAGTGAAGTAGAGACCCACGTTTGAACATGCCTCTTCCAAGATCTTATTATGAATACTGCAGTCTTGGAAACACCTAGTGAAACATTTAGCAATCAAAGTAAAATTAGAAGAGAGAGAAGAACATCGCTTTCCAAAGACATCTGTGTTTTATTTAACAGGAACATGGTGCATCAATTTAGCACTGACAAAAGACAGAAAGCTGTGCTGTGATAGATTTCAACAAGAGATGACCACAATACTTGAATACTGTCTTTTAATTAAGGACCCCTTAAGTGCATTAATATTTAACTTCAACACCGTTACTGTTCTGCCCTGGGGTATGCTATAAGAGAAGTGATGGCACTAAAATTAGGTAAGTAATCTGTTCTTACTGCCATACAGTTTGCAAATCTGCACTGAAAAGCACCCATATGCAAGTCTGGAAGGCATACAGAGTATTGGCAATAACCTAGAAAATGCCTTTGTGTACAGCCCAAACAATAGTCTTCTATTAAACTAACTGAAAGGACTCAGTGCATATACATGTTTTTTGTTTTAAGTGCACTATAGGGCAAAGAATAAAGATGTTGTACTGAAGATTCTTAATGTAATATGCTAGAATTTGCCATAAGAAAGCAGAGACAGCTCCTGCTTCCTGGATTTCAAGAGAGTAGGAGACCTCCTTAGCTCAATGAAAGCTATAAATATCACAGAAACATGGAACTACTAAAAGTTTTGCTTTTCTTCCAATAAAAGTCCATAAAAACTTATGTCACTATCTGTGACATGAAAGGTATCCCAGATATCAGCACCTGATAAAGACAATGAGAAAATAAAAAGTTTCAGAGAATGGAAATTTAAAAACAAAAGGAACATTTTAAACATGGATCAGAGCAAGTGGCAAATACAAGTGACTTCCTGCTTTGAGGGTCTTATATTCTGAGAGGCTGGAGGGAGTTTGTGTTGCTAGAAGACCACATTAGTCCTTCCACAGAAGGAGCATACTGAACATGAAACTGATGGTGACGCTTAGGGTGTGAGTTCAGATGCAGGAGGCAAAAATGAAAGAAGGCACCTGAAAGGAGTGAAAGTGGGCAGATGAGGCATTTCTCCTGAGATCTGGGCCGAACTAACAGACTGAATGCACACAGTGACAGTACATGCTTTGCTACATATCAGAGAAGAAACAAAAACCCACCATTCCTGGACTTGCTGAGATGTATATGTATCTGATTAAATACTTTGCTTACACAACAGTGTATGGCTGAAGAACGGCTGTACAACATAGCAAAATGGGCTGAGTAATTGCAGGGGAAGGACAATTAAGCATCTATTCAAGCACATGAAGGAGAGCCCACAACTTTCTAATCTAAGATTAGATTAGAAGAATTCTGGCACTTCGTAACAAGCAAAGCTCCTACAACATTTGAAAGGCAGATTTCAGGAACTAGGTCAATGTGCAGCAATGTGCTATTTGTATCTTAAACATAAGGATGGTTTTATTTTTCTAAGCAGATGCGCATTATCAGGTCAACAGAAACTGTCCAACAAGAATGGGGTTTCCCTTTTCTCCACTTTTGAAGTACATTCCCTACCCTTTCTGTAAATTATGACCCACATGCTGTACTAGCATACTGTGTATTTTTGGGGCAAGAACTAAAACATAAGTCAAGATTTTGTATGGACTGAGATTCAGCATTCTTGTAAACAAACACGCTACTGTCCATCTCGAAGGTTTTTAACAGTCATGCCTTATTTTTAATTGTAACAGATGTTCCAAAAGCAAGGCAGCAACTTTGGCCATATATGGACACAGCCAGCATTTTAAGGGACTTCACGGCATCCAAGCAACAGGAGAGGACTGCAGCTTCCCATGTTGGTATCTCAGAGCTCATGTCTCACAACTCTACTTGACTAAGGGATACACTTGCATTCATTTGTTAGAATTGTAATGGTTACACTTTAGTACTTGCCACCCAAGGATCTGTCTGGCATTCATGCTCTGCGCAATGACAAAACCTAGTATCAGATTATTATGATTTTAATCCTGAGCTTCCCTAAAGCCAAACGTTATCATCTGAACATAATAATGTTTGCTCTATTCACTCCATGATTCTCGTGGTGACTGTAATTCTGACATACCCTTAGTAGTAACTGGGCTCTTTTCCACATATATGCAAGATGACTGTCCTTTCTGTACATTCATTTAGCTTGATATGATGTCAAATCATAAAATGATTCTCCTCAGTGCTAACCACATTCCTGGTTAATTCCACCTTCCTGGAGGCAGACTTTCTCCCAACACCACTGGCCTCAGGAACATACTCTAAAGGTACTTCAAATACACAAAACTGTACTTTCTGTCTGAAGTCTGCTTTGGTATGTTCTTCTTTCCAACTGTTTGCTATGTACATTTTCACACAACAATCATTCCAAATTCTATTCAAAAAAAGAAAAAGTATTTACAGTATGAGTGCATCCCTTCACTTTCCTAAGGTTTCATCTAAAAATTAATAAAACAATTAAGGCTGAAATCATTAATTAAATTAAATTGGAGAAGAACTGGATTTCATTCAGGACTTTTAAACAGAATTTTTCCCTTCCTTCATCATTGTCCAGCCACATCTGAAGGTAGGCCTTAAATCATGCAGAAGCCAGGACACATGCATATATCCACTCAAAAATTGCTTATTTTACAGTGATAGTTTAGACTAATTCCCTTCCTTTACCCTCCTTTTCAATTCAAACAAATAAAGGCTCTTTCCAAACACTTCAGATAGATTTGATTGCAAGGACAGGAAAATATCTATGTGACAACCGTCTGGAACAGACAACTTTTGTGCCCACAGAGCCAGGATGCTAGCTAATTATTTAAGTCTTATTGAGCTTGGCCAAACAGCAGTAAATTAAAAAACTGCAAGAAAAACAGGAAGTGTGAACAATGTAGTGAATTAAAAAAAAGCATTGGCAATATTCATACTTACAGGCTGAGGCTGTTCTGCAATACAGCAGTTGAAGCACAACCAAAACTCACTCATTGTTTACAGTCTGCAGCAGGAACACAGATGAAAAGCAGGACTTTGTAAATCTGTCTTCAGGTAGCAAGTCTTTTAAATAGGTTTACTTATAATGGTTCCAATGTGAAAATCTTGTCTCTGTTGAGCTCTTCCCCAAAGACAAGTCAGCCCCAGGACAAATGACTTCAAGGCAAAAAATTATTTTAGAGTCTTTCAGAAGGTTGGTCCCAGCACCACAGAAATGTTACACATGCTTCTTTGGTCCTTAGCGTTATGTGAACCTGAAAGCAGAAGTACACTGCATCAAAAACTAAGAACATATAGAATTTCATGCTCCAAGCCACCCATCCCAGTGATTTCTTAGCAGTTTCTTGAGCCACAGACTGAAGAGACACTAGCAAACAGGTCACCTGCTTATTTCTACCGTGAATACCAAAAATGGCATATACCATAAATCCGTATGAGCCTTACATTCCAGCTTTGGTTAGATGAAGTGATATCAAGAACTGGTGTCTAATCTCTTGCTGGTAATCTCCGTTTGATCTAACATTCAAATGTCATTTTAGAAAGTGGCAATTGCCCACACACCCCTTTAAACTTCTTAGGGAATTTTGCCTACTGACACTTTATATTTCTCAATGGAAAAGTTACCCAGTCCATTCACAGAGTGAGGTTTAAACAGTAACTTAATCCTGTCACATAGCTGTCAAAGGCATGCTTTTCTAAACACTGATGAAATAAATGAATTTCTGCATTTAGAAAATTTGCAGAATAGCTGGACTTGGTCAACTGAAGGTAATTTCATTCCATTCACTTTACATTCCTGCTTCATGTTAAGTTGGCTTCAAAACAGGAGACTGCTTGTAGAGTTTGAAACCATTTCCTTAAACCTCTAGAATTCCTTATGCGGAGCAACTGAGGCTCCAGATTCCAACCATTCCTTTGCTAAAATAATGTTTATTGGTTAATCTCCAACCCAGTTTCTTTCAGCAAGAGTGCAATAAAAATTCCTGTGAGATTTCACCCTCGTCATTTATCTTGGCATCTCTCAAACTTTACTTGCAGAGAAAGTGAGATAATGAGTATTCAGAAATTTTTTACTCCTTAATAAGCCTATATAAAACTGCATTTTTATTCATAGAAATATGTGCTTAATTATGCATCATTCTTTGTATAAAATTCCTCACAGAATGAAGTGGTTTGCAGACTCCATGGGATACATAAACTACAGATACATATACATGTATATATATACACATTTGTGATGGAGCAGCTCCACTTAGCTACTGCCTTTAACAGTTCGCTACATGCCAAGCACATCCACAAGTAGGCTTCTCATGTACTATACACATGCCAAGTTACTGTTCTGTGCAACCACTACTAGCCAGGTACATTCCAGGACTGTTGGCTACAATGCACACGTACATACAAATACAGTAGCACCTTTCCCATAGTAAGTTCAAAGCCTCTAGGAAGTTTTCCCACTCCTAGGAGACTAACAGAGGCACTTCAAGCAATCAATGTATATGCAGTAACATCATCTAAGTAGCAAAACCCCAGCAAAAGTACCTGCCCTCTCCTAGCTGTGAAAAAGTTACTGGTAATGTTTAAGTTTACATGCCTGCTATTTCTTCCCCAAAGACCAGAATAGGAAGCAGGAAAAATGCTTTGCTAGCTTTTCCTACCACTAACACCATAAAAAGCAAAGCAATTCTATTAAACAGAACACCTTGAGGGTAAGAAAAAAACCAAAACCACCCCTCACTCCCCCCCCCCCCCCAAGAAAAAAAAAAATCCTTCTACACAACTTTTATCAAATACTTCAAAAGAGGGTCTTAGTACAGTGCTAATATAACTATTTTCACTATTTAAAAAGATTTTTTTCTGCCTCAAAGATGATCATCTAAACACTATACACATCAAGAAGCTGCAACAGTTACCAATGAACAGTGTGAAATCCAAGAATGAATATAAAAGTCTCTAAGGAAGTTTTCACTTCATAATTAGGTGGCTTCACATTATTTTCTGAATTCTTCTGGTTACCGTAAAGTTGATGAATTTTAAATAACAAGAACTGCACTAATGTAAAAAGGCTTGATAAGAAAATACTGTTCTCTGCAGTCTCAGAATTTGCATGCTACACAATTCTTCTCTGAAGCTGATTCAGCATGTAGCAAAACTGGAACCAAAATGTGGTTAACTTCTGTTAAACACTTAACAACTGACAGTTTTAGACCAGTAATTGCATGTCTTATCTCTCCTTAAAATTAGGTGAGTTTACTTCTGAGAAGTTAGGGTCCACATTGTTCTGAAACACAGCAGTGCTTCCCTAATGCCAGCTGCTCAGAAAAAACTGAGAAAGCAAGTATGCGAAGTTAGAGCGTCTTGAAATCTAATGCATTGTAACCTGCCACAGCTGTAAACTGACACATCACAGTGGACTTCTCTTGCTGCATGAGCGGCCCAATATTTGGATTTGCAACTCCTGAAAGTCTGACACTTGTATCATTGCTTCTCCACAGTCTCTTTTTGATAAACTTGAGATTTAACATAACAAATTCTTGTTCTCACAAAGGGTTAACTTCCATCCTGCTGTTACACCTGTGTACAGAAGACTTAGACAGAAATGGCATGGAATCTCCTCTGCTGATCCATCTCCTCATCTGTTCAGCTATAGTTAGCATTCTCTCCTCCAGCTCACTGCAGCATTAAGCACTGTTGAGCTGAAGCCCTGGGAAAAAAACCTGAAGGACCTGACCACGCTCTCGTGAGCCTGGAAGAATTTTCCTGGTTACAAAATACCCAAGGGTGGAGAAGACCTTCTCCACCCAGATACTCTCAGCATATAGGACTTGTGTCCTCCAGGACAGAGTTGTCTTTGCAACTGACTTCTCTCTTCACATCAGAAGCTGCTGAATGACAAAGTGAAGCTAGAGATCATGATAATAGTCTGATAACATGTTCATTCTTAAAAATGTATATTATCTTTTATAGCCTATATAACCCCACATTTGACTTTATCTCCATGGTTGTACAAGCAGTACCAAGCAGTTTTTCAATCTGTTGCCTTTTAATTAGAAAAACAGATGGTGGAAGAACCTATCTGTAATTCTGGAGAAAACTGACAGTAACTGCACCCCTTAAAAAGCAAATAAAACTTAGCACTATTTGTTGAAGCACTGCAATTTTATACACCCCCACTCTATTAAACGATTTTCAAGGCCAAGTTAATATAAAAGATCAGGTACAAATCTGCCGCACCAAAATTGAAAGTAAAAGCAATTAAACTGAAGTCAAAAGGCATATCAGCGCTGCAAGGTCAATAGCAACACACTAGGCCTTTTCTTATGCTGCTAATTATTTGTTTAAAGAACAAGTTGAAACAGGGAAATTCTGCTGTTCTTTTCCAAATTACTGGTTATAAAGAAAGAAAAAAGAAAGCACCATACTGACCTACAGCTACCAGTCAGGTAATTATGTAGTAACAGCCCACTAAGATTCTCTTGAGAAAGTATTCCTGCGAAACCTGGAACTGCACTCCAAACTCAGCTGCAATTAATGAGATCCCAAAACATATACTTCACAGCTAGTTCTCTACTTTGTAGGACCAAGGTTTTTAATATGGCACCGTTTGCATGTATTGCTGCATTTGTCTGTGTAGACTTTCCAGATGAAGATGAGGCTGAAGAAGAGAGTTCAAGACAATAGCTCTACCACTCTTTGTTTTCGCTCTTTACAGTTTGTGGTGCTCAGAGCAGAAAACCATACCACTCATGCTGAAAAGACAAGGTGCTTATTCTGTTTGAACCAGAAAATTAGTCATCAATGAATGGTGAAGCACCTATTTACTTTTGCCCATTTAAACTTTCTGAACTCTGAATGAGACTTAATTTAGGGCGTACAATTCATAATGCAAGAACACACAGGCTGTCACATTTTAAGACTTTATGTACAACTTCAATTTCATAACATTTATAAAATTTTTAAGTAGTATGAAGGAATTAAGATATTAAAAAAGATACATTGTTTAAAATTTGAAATGAAACCCAAGATTCAGAACTCAAAGCTTATTCTACAGTAGCTGATTTAATATGAAACCCACAACTACAGCTTATTGTTAAATACCAGTCATTAAGGCAGTTAAGTGCAAACATTGCAATAATGGATAGCAGGGGTGGAGCACATTCTCTTCCAGTATCAGCAGTTTTTCTTATTAAAGCAGTATTAACATTTTTGTAGGAAATAAACAGAACAGGACAGGAGGAAGGGCAAAAAAAGAGATCAATTTCCCCTCCAAGCTCTTCATATTTACTGGCAAAAAGTAGGATAGAGAACATTTATTTACCTTAGTTGATCCAGAAAGGAATATGCTTCATGCTGTGGAGGGTCACTTAGAATAAACCTGCTTATTAATTATATCGCTTAAGAGCTGACGCTGTTTTAAAAAAAAATCATATATAAAGCTCCTTTTAAGGGTGAGCCATCTATATCCTTTGCATACTGTTCACAGTGGCTTCAAACAGGAAGTGCAGTAACAACGCTCTTTGACAATTACTTGAAGCAAATAAAACCACAGGAAGAGAAAGAAAATAACTGCAGGTGTTTAACTAGATTTGCTCCAAAGCTCAGACTACTATTTAAGGAGAAAGGGAGAGAAAAAAAAAAAAAATCAAAATGCAAAGCATGCACAAGGTCATAACTAGGCATGCCATGCTATGGCACGTCATGACATGATGCACTATGACATGCTCATGTATGCACAAAGTCGGAACCAGGACTACTACCAGTTTTTATTCTCAATTTTCATGAAAAAAAAAAAAAATTCTTGATATGGAAGTATCATTCCATACAGGACACTTTTTTCCCTTAAAGGCTCTGAACAGTTATCACTTGTTTCAAGCTGCTAAGTAGAAAATTATAATTTTAGAGTGCATTTTTCAGACTTCTTCAGTATTTTTCAGTTTAAATCCCTAGTGTAGCAATACTATTTCATCTTGCTGCTTAGCATATACAGTCAAGTGGCAGCAAGAAATGAGGGGGAAGGCAGCTGATTAAGGTGTGACCAAACCAACAGAGAGGTTATGCTGGTGCCTGTTTCCATACACTTGGAGCTGTAGCAACTGGTGGTTCTCAAAGGAAGTGAGAAGTGTTTAGTCACTTGCCAGTCTCGTTTTTTGAAAGAAAAAATCTGTACAAAAACCCAGAGATTTTAAACTAACATGACCTACAGGGAAATTGCCTTCATGCATGAATTCTAAATCAGAAACTTTAGCTCACCACAGCAGTGCACTTGCAGAAGCACTCTTGCCTCCCTTTCCACCTAGCAGATCAGGCACTTGTGGGGACTTTGACACTGCTTTTAATGCGCCGATTATATTTTTTGCTTTCAGATCCTGAGAAACCTGAGCTGCAAGTAACTCTTGCCAGACAAAGGACAACATTCAGCATCTACATAGGCTGAGCTCTTTTTCACTTTCTCATAACCTTCCCCATTCCCATATCTATTCCTCCCCACCCCCAAGTTCTTCAGGATTTAGTTTCAAGGCATCGAAGAAGCTTCTTCAAAATTTCAGTTAGACTTTCTTGTGCATTTTCAAACCTGGAACACACTTCATTTTGTGATAGGTATTTCTTTTTTTTTTTTTGAAGTGCAGATCAAGTCTATTGTTTGGCAAGCCTGTGATGGATGCACGCACTCTAATTGAAGAGTGCTTTGTTTCAGGCATCACCAACAAGGAGGTCTGACTGCAGTCAGCCCTGCAGCACAAACGCTGAGAACTGTGATAGTCCCTATCTTCACAGGGACTAAGGAATCTAGGCCATGTCTTACTAACAGTACTAGCCCAAGCTGGGACTAGACAAAACAAACTGCTACAGCTGCATACTTGCAGATACACCACAGCAGGGTTTAACCATAAGCAATCACTTTAAAATGTAAGTATCTGTAGCCCTACTCCCTGCCCCTCCCCTGGTCCCCCAGCCCATTGATCTCTTCTGTGCAGCAACAGTCCAGACAAGAGTGATCTCCCCCTTGAGCAGGGACATGACTTAAGGTTGAGAGACTCCTTAACCAGCATCTGAGGTTGAGAGACTCCTTAACCAGCATCTGATACCAGTAACAAGGTAAATGATGTTTTACACTAGACCTAGAAGTATTATAGAACCATAGAGTATGTAGAGTATTCTAGAGAATCACAGGCTTGGAAGAGAGCCATAAAAATCATCAAGTCCAACTCCCTGCTCCTCACAGGACTACCTAAAACTAAACTATCTGATTAAGAGTGTTGTCCAGATGCTCCTTGTACTTTGCCAGGCATTATGCTGTGACCACTTCCCTGGAGTTGGTTCCAGTGACCGACCACACTCCTGGTGAAGAATTTTTTTCTTACTGTCTAATCTGAACTGTCCCGAATGCAGCTTTAGGGACATGCCTCATGTCCTATTGCTGGTCATCAGTTGAGAGGAGATCAGCAGCTCCCCTCTGCTGCCCCCCTTGAGGAAGTTGTAGTCTGCAACAAGGTCACCCCTCAGCCTTCTCCAAACTGAACAAACCAAGTGATATCATCTGCTCCTCCCAAATCTTGCCCATGAAACCTTCCACCATTTTGGTCGCCCTCCTCTGGAAACATTCTCTAATAATCTGAAGTCCTTCTTACATTGAGGTGCCCACAACTGCACACAGTGCTTGAGGTGGAACTGCACCAGAGCACTGTGGAGTGAGACACTCACCTACCTCAATTGGCTAGCAGTGCTCTGCTTGCTGCACCCCAGGACATGGTTAGTCCTTTTGGCTGCCAGGGCACACACTGTTGGCTCATATTCAACTTGCTATCAACCCAACCCCCCCAGATCTCTTTCTGCAGGGGTGCTCTCCAGCCTCTCATCCCCCGGTATGTATATGTTTATAACCATATATATGCCCTGCCCCAGGTGGAGAATCCGGCACTTGCTCTTGCTAAACTGTATACAGTTCATGATTATCAAACTCTCTAGTCTACCAGATCTCTCAGCAAGGCCTTTCTACCCTGGAGGGAATAAACAGCTCCTCCTGATGTAGTATCACCTGCAAACTTCCTTAATGTACGTTTGACTTTCACACTCAGACAATTTATAAAAAATATTGAAGAGTACTGGCCCTAAAACCGACCCCTAGGGAACCCGACTGGTGACTGGCCACCAGCCTGATGTGACCTCTAGGTACTATAACCCTTTGAGCCCACCCATCAGCCAATTGCTCATCCAATGTATTATGAACTTGCCTAGCCATATGCTCTATGTTCTGATCAGAAGGATACTATGAGACACAGTATTAAAAACTTTGCTAAAATCCACTGGCTTCCCTTGGTCAACTAAATAGGTGCCCTTGTGATAAAAGGGAATTAGGATGGTTAAGCAGGACTTTCCACTCATGAATTTGTGCTGGCTATAACCAATGACTGTGTTGTCTCTCAAGTGTTTTCAAGTAACTTCCAGAATAACCTCCATAACTTTACCAGGCCCTGAAGTGAGACTGACAGGCCTGTAATTACCAGAATCTTCCTTCTCACCCTTCATGAAAACTGGATTAAATAACTGCTTAATTACCATTCTATTGTTGCTTTATTGCTTACCATTTAGTTCTCATTCAGTCACTGATTATCATTTGACAATCATAATTTAATCATTAATAAAACCCTTTTTAAGCTAACCCCATAACAATGGCTTCTCTTAATAATTCACCTGCAACAAGTCTTTTTACACACTAGACAACAGGAATAACTCTATCAAAGTTTAACTAAAGTTAATGAAGTTTAGGAAACTTCAAAAAGGTAGAGAAATGTGAAATTTTAAACCCAAAAGACACTATATCATAACATATGTAAGAAAAATAGCCAAGCAGATAGTCAACTTTAAATAATAAAACATGGTGCACAAGACAAATCTCCAATGCTGAACTGCAGTTTTAGTGGAGATACAAGAATTATTGACCTAGTTAAGAAACAAAGTGCTCTACAAAAAACAAGTTTCAAAACGTTCCAGAAACATTTTAACAAAGTACTCTAAGCAGAATAGTTACTGCTGTTCTGAAATCTGAATGCACAGGAAGCTAAATTGTCTCCTCAGAAATGGCATGCCTATCTTGCCAAGAAACACTGAATTGTGTTCCCTGTGTACCCACAAAAACCTCAAGGCCATTACTGCTAAAAATGCTCATTTGGAAAATGCCCTGCAGTTCATATCTTAGCGGTGGTGAAGCCACCTGAAGTTCTACTGCCAGCGTATAATACTATAAATCTCAAATGGTTTGGCTTTCTTACAAAATGCCTATGTATACAGGCATATGGCTTACCTAAATTGTCAGGCATCCAGTGAGCAGGAAAACCTAGAATAAAGGTTTGTCAAAGCTAAGATTTATTTTTCGAACGAGTTTCATATTTATAAATGCTACATAGGTTCATTTCAGCTCCCCAAACTGAAAGCTGCTGACAAAACCAGAGGTAACTTGCAATGCTTGCCTAAGAAATATGAAAGAAACTTTATGTACCTCAATTCTTAGTCAATGGCTTGCTATAAAGAAATAAAATAGGCAACGTGAAAAGTGTACTCTGACACCAAATAACCACTGGATTACAGTATTTGAACTCCACAATGAACTTCTAATTATATTAACTACAGCTATTCAAAATTGTATTCTCATAAAATAGACAATAGACAGAAAATATCCACAGAGCATGTAGTTACAAATCTTACTTCAATATGTCCTCTTATAAACCAGGCGTATCACAGATAGGATATGATTTTCTGGATGCAAATTCAGTCTGACAACAATTTAAAGAACTTTCATTAATAAATTTCAGGGAGTATCCTATGTTACAAACTATCCAATCTTACCTAAGAGTCTACTAATAGAATGTTAGTTAAAAATGTTTCACAACAAACAACTGCCCTTGTAAATTCTGAGTTTTGGTGGGGTTTTTGTTTGTTTGCTGTTTGATGGTGTTGGGGTTTTTAAGAAAAAATTTCAATCTGAGTTTCTTAAAACATGAAAAACCCTCCTGTGGAACGAACTGTGATAAATACAAACATTCCTCAGACCTGGAGCAGCTTCTTGGCTGAGGGCACAGGAGGGTGGGTGGGAGCAGCCACTGGGCATCCAGCCCGCTGTAGGCAGACCAGCCCTCCTCAGTAAGCAAGCACTTGGTCAGAGACCTCTGTTCAGTTTCCCTGCCCCTAGGTAAGGGCTCACTGCTGTTACACACATCTGCAAGCCCCGTCAGTGCAGGTAACTGTCAATTTTTTAAAAAGCTGGAGGAGGTAACAGATAGACTAGCAAGGTTTTCTTTTTCTCACCAGTAAAAAACCTGATTCACCTGCACCACATTTATTATTCTGATTGCAAAAGTGCTTCAGCCAGTTGGCTCTGACATACTCATGCATCTGATGTTAATTTTCTTCCTTAAAAACTC